CTGCATTCTGGGCATCCCGATGCTGCGATTGCTAATTGTTCCACTTGTATCAAAATAAGTTTTTTAGGCTGTTTGTGAGGGCATTGGAAGGACCGAGGGCGCCTCCCGGCGCAGGGAATGCCTCCTCAGTTGCTGTTTTACCGTTTTGCTCTTATAAAATAGGCTAGTACTGAAACATTACCGCACCATCTTAGAAGTACTGGAAGGGAAATTACTCGAAATTATTTTCTTTGAATATTTAGAAAATCCCACATAACTTTCACAGCTGGAAATTTCTTTGAGCGAGAATTCCAGCTGGGAATTCTTCATAGCCTTTTTTCTCTTTCTTCGATGTGAATACTTTTGATCAGTCGCTTTGCCAAAACTGTTATTTGCTGTTATTCGATTTATGCATTGTTTTGCTATTGTAGAGGGTGCTGCTCTTCCTGGCGAGAATGATCGGGCGTCCTATCGATGAGAATAGTCGAATGCATAAATATCATTTATATTTCGTTGAGGTTTGCCGTTTTGTCTTCTATTTTTTAGTAGTGTTTTATAGGTTCTGCTTGCTTTTCTTTGTTTTGCTATCCGCTTCTTTCATCGCCTTTTTCCATGAATTGCTTGGGAGTAGAATTGCTCGTAGTAGAATTGCTAGTTAGTAGAATTGGGAGTAGAATTGCTTGGAAGTTAACTTCTGGCATTTGGGTCCTCAGTTGCAGAGGTGCGAACACGGGCCATTGCCAGAGATCTTCCGACTATTGGACTTTTGTCAAAGATATAATTTTTTGCTGAAATTTTTGCACATAGGTTATAAGCATTAAAAAAATAAGAAGTATTGAAGGGGATTCGAAAATCTGGTGAATCTTATGCGTTGTACGCTTTTTGGTTTCTTTGACAGATCACAAGTGATATGTAACCGGTTCTGGCACCGTCGGAATGCATTGGGATGTCTTCTCGCAACATCACGAAGAGGATAGCCATTTAGGTCTCGGGGGTGTGAGTGTGTGTGCGAGTGCGTGTGTGTATTCGTGTGGTGAAGACGAAGGGCAGAAATTCAAGGACAGGATGCTAGGCTATGTTGAGCATTCTATCATTATTTTTAGTGCTGGTTGAAGAGTGCTTAGTTTTTGGCCACATTTTTTGTTATTTCTCTTTTTTTGTCTCAAATAATAGACCAACAAGATTGTACGCAAGCCATGTTTATGGTGTATTTTATGAAGCAAATTGCCTTTATCTTTCAGATGTAGTGGGGTGATATTTTTCAATGCAGTTTCTATGTTTCATCCCTTAACTGTAAACACAGACCGGACTATGCATGCAAGTAGGAGTGGGGGACGTCAGTACAGCCTCCTACCCGCCATGTATTGAAAGGACATGTAACTAATTTGCTAGAAGAATTAGTGAAAGAAAATGACAAAGAGAGTAAGAAGGAGAGAAACTATTTAATGTAAGAAGTAGGAGTGATAGAGCAGGTGGAAGAGGTGGAAACTAACATATGTTAAGGATAGTAATTTTATGAAGTTATGAGGAGGCAGCTTTCATAAGAATATCGCACTAACTGATTTTTGGGGGGTCAGTTCTAATCTTTTAATTATTTTTTTTTTTCGTCTGATCAGGACTACGTGGCAGATAGTGGGTTTAGCAGTTGCATGCATACTGAATTAGACATATGGCTGCATTTCTGCGCTGGCAACCTTCACTATTCTATGATCAACAGGAAACGTGGTGAATTTTTGATCGTTTTTCCAAATTTTCCAGAATTTGTCGGACGTAGAAACGATGCAGCTGGCACTAACGCTCGGCGACGATTCATACAAAGTGCTGCGACAGCTCATTTACCATGCATTGCGTAGCGTCCGGGAGAAAAATGTCGCTGCTGTGGATGAGCATATTGAAGGAATGACAATGGGCATCTGTTCCAAGCTGATCCAGGGCATTGATCCGATCTCCAATATCGTCCTGGACGCCCTTTTCTACTTCATCATACAACCACAAAGGGTTAATTTTTTTCTAAGCTTATTAATTTTATTGAGGCTTTTTATAAAAGCATCAGAATCAGAAGCCGAAACCTTTTTCCCCATTCACTTTTTGATAAGGGACCGA